GATGTCCCATGTCGCAGCGGGAGGGGTGCGGGGGGGGATGGCCACACCACAATCCCTTCTCCTTCATTCTCCTCTCAGGATCCTGGGCACGCATGCACATGCCCCCAGTGTGAGTTTAAGTTACTGGGTCCGGGACTCGAACCGCAGTTGACTACATGCTACAAGCATGTTTAAAAATTGTCTCTGGGCCGGCAAGTGGTGTGGTGGCTAAGGTTCCTGAGCTCCCACATGGCCCGACCGTGGTTCAGGTCCTAGACCTGGAGGCTTGCTTTGTCACTTTCCTTCTTTCTTTCTCTCTCTCTGTCCTTCTGGTTGGATTAGAATAAATAAATATATAAATGAATTTTTTAAAAAGTCAAATAGAATAATTCTTAAAAAAGGTCTCTGTAACTATGTAACTATATTATTTATGGGGTAGTTTTAAAAAAGGGAAATTATGTGAGCTCTTTTAAATTTATACATTTCTATATATTCTGAATATTTATAATATGCTCATATAACTTTGTAATTAGAAAAAATTACTTTTCCTTTAAAAAAAAGCTTTTTTCCTTAAAAATAAAATATCTCCTTTACATTAGATCATAATAACCCTTGTCCCCTTTCTTACTGGTCAACCTAAGCATTCTTTTTTTTTTTTTCCCAACCTACACATTCTTAATACCTGGAGAAAGTTTTGTCACCCTTCAGCTCAGAGATATATTTTTAGGTCTTTATCTCCTTTGGCTGCTTGATCTTCCCCTGTTGGCATTTCAGCTATTTATACTGCAGCACAGGAAATGACAGTAATGTTTTACAAACATTAAAATAACAACAAAGGTGTTAACACATACATTTGAATATTTGGGAACAAAGAACTAAAGCACTGAGGCTTAGGAAAGTAGGATAATAAATTCTCTGGTGCAAATTTAATGAGTTGCAATAGTCAATTTTGTATATAAAGGATAGGTCTTTTTTTTTTAAGTTATGAATTTCTCTTTTTTTTGTTCACATCTATTGGGTCATCAGAAAAGTTTTGCATAGAAAAAACATGTCATGACTCAAACGAGGATCCAATATGTAACTTCTTTCTCATTCTAACCAGAAGAGAAGATACATACTATACCAAAACAAGCTACAAAGGGAAAGCATAATAAAAAAAGTCACCATTATTTTGTACATACCGGAAAGAGTAAAGTTTAGAGTGTTGAGTACTATATTTTAAATGGCATATGGTCGAATGGCAATATTTTTCTTAAAAGGAGTGATGAGGATAGTAAAGGAACCAGAGTGTGTCCTACAAGGAACTAAAGGTGCTGACAATGGTGGGAGGGAAAATAATAATCCAAATTTTTTTTTGTTTCACAGCATAGAACTACTATCAATGAATAGGAAAAAAACAAAACAAAACAAACAAACAAAAACACAAGGAGGTGATTCAAGCTTAGGCTTTTTACCAAATTATTTCTAGAGGTTTATTATAGATACTGCAAATACCAAAAAGCACATTTTAATACTAAAAGTAAATCTTAGCCCTAATGCACATACTACACCATCCACCCATCAAGAACAAGAACGAGAAAGAGGCAGCAGGCTACCTTTCCGGTACACTGCAGGTGCTGTCCTGGCACGGAGAGGGAGGTCACAAACATGGTGAAGCAGCGAAGCAAGAACACAGTGCCCATCAGACTACAGAGCCTTCGCAGAAGTATTGACCTATGAACAGAGCATCCAAAGAGGTGGGGGGAGATCAGAAGAGAACAAGCCAAACAATCCCAGGCATAAAATGTTCACTTAAAGGGAGAGCAACAGAACAACTTTCAGACTATGAATGGGGCGGAAACCTTAGAGGCCATCTGAGGCTTCACTGTCTAATGAACTCTGCAAAGATGAGATGCTCTCCCAGCACACTTCCAAGGAGCTAACTGCAGGTGGCTCTTGACCTGTGGCTAGTATAATGAGCTGGATTTTACATTTTATTTCAGTTCATTTAAATGTAAACAGCCACATGTGGCTAGCGCCTGCCAGGCTAAACAGTGCAAACCTACATCAGATTCTAAGAGGGTTTCATTGATACAAAAACAGGGCTAAGAGAAAGTAAGAGCTATACAAGACAGAAGACTACTAAGGTTAGTGTTAGTTCGATATATTACTCCTAAGTTACTCACAAATTGTGTATTTATAAGAGCTATAAACACCAGTGATTCTAGGGATCTGTTATTGTTGCTCATTAATTACACTGTAAGTTAACGAGGCCCGGCCTCGGTGACACAGGCGGTGGTATACTGAACTACAGTACTGGAAGTCATGTGGCCAACTACAGGTTCAGATCCCGAGTTGACCTGAACACCTGCTGGGGTCTGCAAGCGGCCAAGATCCTTTATAAGCAGGAAGAGGATTTTGGCATGACAAGACCAAGAAGGTGGCTGTAACAGCCCCCCACCCACAGACACACACCTTTTATGTATGCATGCATTTTCTGTCATTAATAAAATAAACTTAATAAATAAATGAACAGGTTAATGATGATAGCTATCTAACATCCATTCTAACTTTTCCCAACCTAAACTTAAGCTATAAAAAACTAAGTTTTAAAAACTACTAAGTATATATCAAACAGAAAATCTGAGTAAGGGCCATTTGGGTAACCATGAACCATGCTGTGACATTATGTGTACTGTTGTACTATTTCTTTAAATGTCTTAAACAGACTAAAATTTTTGAGGACAAGGACTCTGCTTACACATTTTCGAAACGCTTCTCTCTCCCTCAGGAAAAGCCTTGAGCACACAGGGTAGGTGTGTTTCAAATGTCCATGCACACCCTTGGGAGGCACAACTGGGACCTGGCGTCTGGATAACAGCCCAGTGATTCTAATGAAAGTGGGACAGGACTCATACTTGCAGAAATGCTTTCTTTGTCTAAGTAAACACTTCTCAGGACTTGCATTTAACTGGCCTCCTATGCTTTGCTAAACCTAACCAGGTTCCTAAAAGGTAAACTTTCCTGATTAAAGAGTGGATAAATCCAAACTCAAGGAGTCTTGTAAAGTTAACCAGAAAGTAGCAGTGATACACGTTTTAAAACTTCCTCTGGTTTAAGCAGTAAAAATACTGCTTTAAAAAAAGGCAAAACAGGAAAGACTGAGGCTCAATATAGCCTAAAAATGTGACAAGAATAGCAATCAACCTCTCTTTTCACCTTCAAAGTCCTGAAATAACTGCTGCTTAGGATCTACAGCCCATCACTGTGGTCTACCTCAAGCACTTCCTGGTGAGGAGAAAGGATCAAAAATCCAAGAAAGTGCCCTTAATCCTCTTCAGAGTTCCAAAGACAAAAGACAGCAGGTATCCACAAATGTTACAGTTCTTTACATTTTTTCCTTACCATGCCTTATTTTATTTACTTAAGGTCAAGTAATGTGTCCCACTGGAGTGGGAAGAGAGGCTCCCCCACTTCTCCTCTTTTTAAAATTTAAACTATTTTTCCTTTATATTTCTTCGTGAAAGTACCAAGAAGCACTTTTGTTGATCAAACCCAAAATATTTTCATTTGTCATTTACTATAATATCACACAACCCACAGAAAGAAATTAACAAGAAAACTACAAAAGGAGACACAAGGTCTGATGACCTTGACACAAAAGTCAGAACACTTGCATTATGAGTCGAAGAAATGAGATACCTGTGCTTGTGAAGAAGAAGAACCAGGAGCCAAATATAGCACAGAATCATGCCACATACTTCTGTCATGGCAAAGGCCCATGGGATTCTAGGAACACTGAAACAGAAAAAAAATTAATTTTGAACTAAAGAGTAGATACACATAAATGATGCCAC